AATAAATGATTCCATTCATTTGATGGGTCAAAGATAAATAACGTCTCTCGTTCACATTTCTGTTAAATTCAATGCACGGCATTTACAGTCAGAAAAATGAAGAACTCGTGAATATTGTATGCATATATAATTCATATATTTGTCATACAACAAGTGACACGTACCTCACGTGACTCACTACACAGCCACCCTGAGCGGCGTAATTCTAGAATGTAAAGATGATTTTGTAGTCCGCCCTCTCCCCTGTCGACTTCTCTGAGGTAGCCATAGCCAAAGTGGTTCAAAGCATCAAAATTCTTTGAGCCACTTTCAGCTGTAAGAAAACAACAAACTCTTTATTTTGTCGATTTTTATTTAAATTCTCAAAAACAGCTCCGCCTCCTCTCCAGTTTCACAGTTCACCATTGCTCCATAAAGTAGCTCTAAAAGTTCCAGGTTGAAAGTTTTCTGCCTCAGTAAGATTTGAGGTGATCTTACCAAGTCACACCAGCCTGATGACATCACCCAGCTCTTTCCTTGGCAACAGAAAATACAAAGTACAAGGTTGGAGACAAAAAAAAAAAAAAGCTGATCTGTTGAGTTGCAGTGGTTTAAACAATCTCACTGAGTAAAGGAAGCAAAACCTTTCTGTCAACAGATTGGGTTCAGGACTTCTGAACAGATAATTACAGGCGGTAGATGACCTGAAGCACCTGATCATTTCTGGACCAAAAACGGAGATAATTTCTTCTCTAATCTTTTATCCTGGGATTGTACTTGAATGAGTTTAACTTGAACAGTCTACATACAGCTTGATATGCTGCTGGACACAATTAAGATTTCTGGAATTACATCATCGTCTGTAACATCCAAAATAAATGAGACACATGACAAAAAAAGTCTCATTGTTGAGGTGCACAACGTGTGCTGCACCCTCCCTGTACAACCACCAGTGCTGAGGGTGTTTCTTATAGCTCTGTTTTCAAAAAGAAATCCAACAAGACCACTGGGGGTTTTGGACAATTGCTATCTGTTTCATCCTGATGCATGCTCAATAATCCAGGTAGAAAAATCTAAAAAAGTTAAATCTGGTCCTCTGGACATTCAAAAAAACAAAACAAAGCAAAACAACAAAAA